AAAATAAAGAGTTAATACCTAAAAAAAACCCCTAAACTGTCCATGTTTTACAACTTTAATATTTTCTATCTAAGGGCCTGTTTGGCCATTAATAAAGATTCCTTTTTATGATTTTTTTTAATACTTTTTTTTTTCGAAATCAATGTTTAGCCATGAAATTTTCGATTTTCACTTGAAGATGAATTTCAGATTTTTTTGAAAATGTTAAAAACTCCAAAACGCAATTTTCAATTTTTTTTCACTTCAGATCGCTCACAAAAAATTCAAAAACAACCCAAAATTATATTCATGTCCAAACACAACTTTAATTTTCAAATACCATTTTTTAATTGAATTTTTTCTCATTTTTTTTCGAATTTTTATAATTCTTATGTCCAAACACTCACTAAAAGATCTGTTCTTTATACATAAGAGATCTAAAAATGACATTTTCTTAAATTATAAATTGTAAAGGGGTATAATGTACAAATAACACGTATCAAGTGGCATGGCGAGTAGCTTTACTGTCTTGTGGGAGCTAGAGATTATTATTACGCTTTAAAAACACATCCATGTGACATTTTTACACTCATTTTTAAATAATTTATTCTTAATTCGCATTTGGTGTTTTTTCTTTTTCTTTCTTATTCAATTTCTAGAAAGGCAAATAAAAAAGAAATTCAAATATGAGTGAAGTTAGACGGTATTTAACAAAGTTACAAAAGAATAATCAAGTACGACGTCAAAAAGATCTATATATGGAATCTTCTACTAACTTATTTCAAGGAAACTAATCATATTCCTCTCTTCTGACTTCTGTGAAGAGTTTAATGGTTTTGATTTTTGAAGACTAATATGAAAAAAAAACCCCAAGATCCACACATTGAGAATATGGTCGGACATTTATAATAACTAATAAAATTTTAGACCGTGGTCTAACGTTCTCATAAAATTTTCAATTTGCTCAAGTAAGATCTTATGACTATGTTCTAAAACTCAAAATTTTTAATTAAATAATAAAGGTCAAATCCCACCAAATCCCCAAGTGGTGCTTTAAATACTGAACCTTATTAAAATTGGAAGTTAGCCTCCTTTTTTGGTCCATATTGTCATAATGTGACTTTAATGATGGAACCGACCTTCAATATGGGAAAAATAGGATTAAATGTGGAACCTTTTGACAAACCAAAATATTCAGAATTTAATTTTTCCACGAGAAGTGGTCCAAATTTTCTCCTATTTTGTCTGTAATGTCAAAATTTATATTTTACTACATTAGTTTCTTGAGTGGCTGTTGTTTCCCCTTTTTTCTTCTCTTTCCTTTTGTGATTTAAATTTTTTTAAGAATAAAAAACTTGTCTGCAAAACCAACTCTGAATTCAATGCTCAAGATTCATCAAGTCAATGGAATATTTCTGTACAAGTCTATTACGTGTATATTTTTGGCTCATAGATTTTGGCTATTTTTTGTTTGGAATAAAATTTGAAAACATTATTTGTTAATGAAATATGACTAATTTTTGATTTTTTTAAAGTTCCCAAAAGCTGATTTTGTAAAGAATATAGGTTAACCTTAGTTAATTTAACTTAACTATATTATTAGTTATTGATGTGCAACTGTACTAAGGTGGTTAGTTAGTTAAATATTGTAGTTTGGTTAGTTAGTTAAATACTGTAGCTTCTTCTTCTTTCTAGTTCAGTCGGTTGTATCAATATACAAAGCATAGCTTTTCTCTGATTTTCTCTCAAAATTCTTAATCTCAATTTCTCTCTTCAGTTGCACATTGTTAAATTCTTCATGGTATCAGAGCATTGATCGAGTGATTCTAGGGAATTTCTTCGCGGAATTGAAGATAGTTCGAGAGAATCTACTCAAGTTTAGAAGCTTTAAATCCTAATTTTGTGGTCTATCAATGACGCCTTTTGAGAACTCGACTGATAATGCGAACAATGGAGATAATACGAGCATCAGAACGATACCTAGCTCGATTGTGTTAGATCATAATCATCCTCTTTACTTGCATGCATCTGATGGTCCGGGATCGATGTCTGTGGGACTCATTTTGACAGGTATGGAAAATTACTCTCTTTGGAGCCGTGCAATGAAAGTAGCATTGTTAGGAAAGAACAAATTGTGTTTAGTTGATGGATCAACATCGAAGGAGGACTTTGGTCCAAATCTGGGAAGTCAGTAGGATCGGTGCAATGCCATCGTGACTTCATGGCTCATGAGCAATGTGAGCAGAGATTTGGTAACAAAGTGCTATTTTCTTCGAATGCACAGAAGGTATGGGCTGCTTTCAAGGAGAGTTTTGACAAAGTGAATGCATCGAGATTGTATTACTTGCATAGGGAAATATTTATCGTAACACAGGGGATTTCGTTAGTATCGATTTATTTCACCAAGCTAAAAGACCTTTGGGCAGAATATGACTCAATACTGCCACCTCCTACATCAGCCACTGAGTATATTGAACAATTGGAGTATCAATGACTGCTACAATTTTTGATGGGATTGAATGATAACTTTGAGCAATCAAGGAGTCAGATTCTATTAATGCCAAGCTTGCCATCTATAGATAAGGCTTATGCTATGGTAGTTTAGGAAGAAAGCGGAAAATCATTTACTGGTGGTACCTATGGGCAAACTGGGCATAATGATCCTACTGTGTTGTTTACTTAATCCACATCTAAACCAAGGAGAAACTATAGCTTAGAATGTGATTTTTGTCATTTGAAAGGCCATACTATAAATGAATGTTATAAATTGATGAGGTGTGAATTTTGTAATAAGACAGGGCACTTGAAGGAGAAATGTTACAAGATTATTGGATATCCATATGATTTCAAACAAAAGAAGAAAGCAAATGCAGTCATGATAGATGGAGCTGGACAACAAGGAATGATAGTTTCACCAACTACAAGCATATATCAGCCAAGCAGTAATGTTGAACCAGCTCAATTTTTTATTAAAGAACAATATAACCAGTTGTTGCAGTTGATGAACAAAAGTTCTACTGCAGGAACTAGTGCAAACATGGCAGGTAAGTGCTTTTGTGGTAATGTAGTCTTATATGAGAACTTAGAACTTTGCAAATGGATAGTAGATACTGGTGCTACTAACCACATGACTAGTGATAAGAGTTCACTGAAAAATGAAACTTAAGTAGGAAATTCAGGGCAAGTGCAGTTACCTACTGGAGATTAAGCATCAATCTCACATATGGGGGAGTGTCAACTCACATGAGGTGATGCACTGAAAGATGTGTTATGTGTACCAGCTTTTAAGTTTAACCTCATGTCAGTCTCTAAAGTGACAGAAGATCTCAAATGCAGTGTTACTTTTTTCCCTAAATGTTGTGTGTTCCAGGACCTCTTATCTGGGAGGGTGAAGGAGATTGGTAGAAAGGAAGAAGGTCAACAACATTAGGGAAGACAATAAATAGAGCTTTTGCAACTACTAGTAAAGAAGGAGGCATGGAAATAGGGCACAGAAGAACAAGACATGTTCCAATTCAAGTTCTTAGAAGGATGTATACAACATTATGGTGGTAGAATAAATAATGACTCACTGTCTAAATGTAAAATTTGTCCTCTAGCTAGACAAACTAGAGCACCTTTTCCAACTAGTACTAGTAGAAGTTTACATGCTTTTGATTTGATCCATATAGATGTGTGGGGACCTTATAAGATTGCTACTCACAATGGCATGAAATACTTTCTTACATTGGTTGATGATTTTACCAGATGGACTTGGGTGTTTCTTATGAGACTTAAATCTGATGTTATTTTCTTATTCAAGAACTTTATTAGTATGATCAAAATACAGTTTGGGAAGCAAATTAAGATGTTTAGATCAGACAATGGGAGTGAGTTTTTTAACAGTGCATGTAGTGACTTGTTTCAAATGCATGGGATTGTTCATCAAAGCTCATGTCCATATACTCCCCAACAAAATGGAGTTGTGGAAAGAAGATATAGACATATACTGGAGACTGCTCGAGCAATCATATTTCAAGGTCACCTACCTATTAGATATTGGGGACATTGTATTGATGCTGCTTTATATATAATCAACAGAATTCCCTCCTCTGTCTTGGGACATAAATCACCATATGAGTTACTTCTGGGTAAGCCACCTTCATTGACACATTTAAAGGTAGTTGGATGTCTATGTTTTGCTACTAATCTGACAGGCCATGATAAACTTGCTCCTCGAGCTGTGAGGTCAATCTTCCTAGGATATGCTGCACATCAGAAAGGTACAGACTTTTGGATTTGGAGAATAAAGTATTTTTTTTATAAGCAGAGATGTAGTGTTCTATGAGGATATATTTACTTTTCACACAACAGAAGAGTCATCAGAATCATTATTCATGGATAAAATTCTAGTGCCAAGACAAGATTTTGATGAAGAACTAAATGCGGTTAGTTCTGCTACTGATATTCATATTGAGGGAACCAATATGCCATGTTCTCCTACTCTAACTTCGGTTATCTCAGATGAGCAGGTTTTTTCACACCCTGTTGAATATAATAGTGTGGATAGTCCTGGTGATTCTCTTATTTTACCTGATGGTGAGGAAGCTAGAAAATCCACACGAGTATCTAAGCCTGCCATATGGCTTAAGGATTATATCAGAGATGACAATAAAAGCTCTGCAAGTTGTTGCAAGTACCCTATTTCAGAGGTGATTGGATATGAAGCTATTTCTTCAAAATATCAAAGCTACTTGGCAAACGTTTCAGTGGAGATGGAACCTACATCATATTCAGAGGCAGTAAAGGATAAGAGATGGGTAGAGGCAATGCAGGCAGAAATCAAAGCATTGGAGGATAATATGTCTTGAGAACTGGTATCCTTGCCACAAGGACAAAAGGTAATATGATGCAAGTGGATTTATAAGATTAAATATAAGGCATCACGAGAAGTTGAAAGGTTCAAAGCTCGATTGGTGGCTAAAGGGTATAATTAGAGAGAAGGTTTAGACTACCAAGAAACCTTTTCACTTGTGGTGAAAATGGTTACTGTCAGAAGTGTGTTGTCTGTTGCTGCTTCAAGACACTGGTCTATTCATCAAATGGATGTTTACAATGCTTTCTTGCAAGGAGATCTATTTGAGGAGGTGTATATGGAGGTACCTCAAGGTTTTAATGGACCAAACGCTGAACTCAAAGTTTGCAAACTACTTAAGTCCCTCTATGGACTTAAGCAGACATCTAGACAATGGAATCTCAAGCTCACATCAGCCTTGGTGGATGCTAGATTTCAATAGAGTCATTTGGATTATTCTCTATTAATCAAAAGGTCAGGAGATCATATGGTGGTTGTTCTGGTCTATGTTGATGACCTTCTTATCACTGGAGATAATCCCATCATGATCTAACAGACTAAGGATGATTTACAAACTTCTTTTGAAGATCAAAGACCTAGGAGAGCTTAAGTACTTCCTAGGCATAGAATTTGTACGAAATAGTGATGGTATATTAATGCATCAATGCAAGTATGCCCTAGAACTCATAGCTGAGTTGGTGCTCTTAGGCTCTAAACCTGCATCCTGTCCTATGGAGCCAAACGTGAAGCTTACTACTGCTGAATTTGACACCCATATAGATACTTCTGAGGACACATTATTGACTGATCCATGGCCATATCAAAGGCTTTTGGGTAAGCTTCTTTATTTGACTGTTACAAGACCAGATATTTCTTTTGTTGTCCAAAGTATGAGCCAATTCATGCATAGTCCTAAGGTCTCTCATATGGCAGCTGCACTCAAGGTGGTTAGATGTATCAAAAGTAGTTCTGGGCTGGGAGTTCTCTTGGCTGCTAAATGTTCTGAATCACTTTCAGCATTTTGTGATGCAGATTGGGCTACATGCCCCAACACACGAAAGTCAGTCACAGGCTATTTCATCAAGCTTGACTCTTCCTTAGTTTCTTGGAAATCTAAGAAGCAGTCCACTATCTCTAGAAGCTCAGCTGAAGCTGAATATCGCAACCTAGCATCCATTGTTGCAGAGATTACATGGATTATTGGTTTACTCAAGGAGCTAGGAGTGGATCATAATTCTCATGTGTATATCTACAATGATAGCAAATCAGCTTTTGCTATTGCTGCCAATCATGTATTTCATGAACATACGAAGCACATAATATTGATTGTCATTTCATTCGTGAAAAGATTCAACATGGTCTTGTTTCTATTCTCTACTGTCCTACAGCTGAGCAGGAAGCTGATATACTCATAAAGGGACTTGGTCGCCTTCAACATTCATATTTGCTGTTCAAGCTAGGTCTAATCAACATCTTTCCTAGTCCTAGCTTGAGGGGGTGGGGGTGGGGGTATAAAGAATATAGGTTGACCTTAGTAGTTAATCTTAGTTAGTTTAACTTAACTATAGTATTAGTTAGTGATATACAACTGTCTTGAGGTGGTTATTAGTTAAATATTGTAGCTTGGTTAGTTAGTTAAATACTGTAGCTTATTCTTCTTTCTAGTTCAGTCGGTTGTATCAATATACAAAGCATAGTTCTTTTCTGATTTTCTCTCAAAATTCTCAATCTCAATTTCTCTCTTCAGCTGCACATTATTAAATTCTTCAGGTTTAGGACATTTTTTTTCAAATAAAATTGTATACGGGTTAAACTCGGGCTAATGAGTGTCTCGATTTCCTGGAAGGTCAAACAAAGCAAGAACATGACTACATGAGATCGAATTCGAAGTTGGAGAGCTCTCGTACTAAGGCCCGAATGGATTGCTCGTCACCGAGCCTGATAAGACAACACTTTCCCGAACCCGGAACAAGCTCCAAAACCTCGGAAAACATGACAAAGGTTGCATATGACTAACAGAGGGCCGTGATATCCGCACCCCACCGGATATCACTGAGCATTTCTCACTCGACATTGACAGTGGATCAGTAATTGACGAGAAAGATGATTTTTACCATTTTTAAAATTGTACTAGAGGTGAAACTCTCCTACTATATAAATGAGTATTTTTTTCTTTGATAGAACATATTGTAACACGCATACCAAGGCAATATAAAATTATTTGTGTGCTTTCTAGCTATTGAAAAGTCTTTATTTTACTTTTGTTCTCGATTGGCTTCGAACCCAAGATTCACCGTGGGCAGAAACTATTACCCAATCCAAGTTCAACCTAGACCATAGCGTTATGATTGGTTTGACTATTCATTATGTCTTTAACCCATTTATCTAACGTTCTTGATTATTTGTGTTGAATCGATCCATTTTAAGGGTAAACAAAAATGCATGTCCAAACATAATTTCAACTTCCAAAAATTATTTGTCAATATAATTCTAAAAATTATTTTTCAAATTTAAACCAAATCTATGTGCAACCGCTAGCCTAATGTCTCACTTGTTTTCTCTTCTTGACTTATAATTAAAACACCTTTCGGACTTTAAACAAGTCGTAGTGCAAAATTTCCAACCAGTTTACAAAGTTGAAAATGGTGTTTTGAGTTGGATCTTTGTCCTATTTGGCTATTTCTTTGCTTAATGGAATCTTCTATTTCGTTTGATGTGTTATTTTGTTCTGCATGTTTTGTAGTTCTATCATATGCTATTACATTATTCCAAGTCTTATTTCAAGGTAGACAAAGACAAATCTTCCAACAGTCAAACAATGGCCGATGTTTGGATCGTCAAATCAGCTTTTAAGCATTTACTTTTAATAATTTTAATGTTCGTTGAGCACAAAAATTTCTCGGGAGTCAAATACGTTTTTTTGTTAAAACTAGACAGCTTAAAAACTAGTGTGGTATGACCAGTGACGGATCCAGAATTTTTATAACGTGGATACACCACTAAAGAAAGCAGAAAAAAGTACGTATAAGTTAGAATTGAATCTTGCTCCTCTAGGTAAAAAAAACTAAGCATTCAACCAAGTGCATTATTTAGTCTCTTTAGAGCATGAGTGCCAGCAGATAATATTAGATCAGTTCTAGCAAATATGTACATAAAATACCTAATTTGGCGAAGAGATCATGGGTTCACGTGCCCTATAAAATAGACTATAAATCCGCCCTTGGGTATGACCAAGTATTTTTTTTATATTATTCGTTATACTTTTTTATAATCCATGCCTTCTTGTACGATAAATATTTATCCAGATTCAGTGTTTAAATCAAACCAATTATAGCTACTCGCTTCATCTCAAAAATTAAAAGATGATATATTTCGAATTTTGAGAGTCAAATGAGTTGTTCTTTCACCATGACTTTTTCATGTACCTATTAAATATTTTAAATTATTAATTATTATGATTTATGATACTTTTTATGTACTTTCTAAATATATAACTTATATTTATAAAAATTAAAGACTTTATGACCAAATTCATGGTGAAAGTTATATAGTTTGACTCATGAAATTAGAAAAGTATTGTTTTTTTGGGGACATAAGGAGTATTACACAGGGGGGTTTGATAGATTAATTAGCCACTAGATCTGTGCAAAAGTACCAATCTAATCATCGTGACTTTTTGTTCAGTAAAAGATTAATTATCCTGTAGGTTTTCAAATTTAATTCGACAAAAATAATACTCATATATAGTACTAAACTCGTTTACTTTTCTCCATTAATCCACTTTTCCTTATATATATATATATTCTACTTTAAGAAAAAAATTCCGACAAATCCTCAGCAACTCATCACCACAGAACTAATGCCATATACTGATCGATACATATATGCTAGCATTGAAGCTAGCCCTAGCAGATACGGACCGATGCACAATTAAAGCTATGGGTTCAACTAGGGGTGTTAAACGGGCCGGGTCAACCCGGTTCCGGACCGGCCCAGTCCGGTTAAAATCGGAACCGGCCCGGACCGGTTAAAGGGGCTGGGTTGGGCTGGGTTAGGGGGACAAGCGGGTTGGTCCGTTTACCATTAAAATATCGGTTACCCGGACCAGTCCAACCCGTTAGATGAACAATACCCGTAAACCGGTTAACCGGCCCGGTCCGGTTTAACGGTAATTTTTTTTTTAATTTTTTTTTGATTTGGGCCAGATCTGACCGTTTGCAACGGTCCATTTCAGAAAATGGTCATTGCCCAACGGGTGAATTGCACAAATAGCCCAATTTTTTATTTTTTTTAAAAAATTAACCCCCCTTTCAAAATCTATAAATACCCCCCCTCTTCCTCATTTTTTCACTCATCTCTCAATTCTCAATCTCAATCTCAATTCTCATATTCTCTCATTCTTCAATATTCATTCTTCACCTATTAAAGTGCAATAAACTATTTGGCTATTTTTTTTGGAATTTAATTTATTGTAGTACTTATTTTTTGAAGTTTGAACAATTGAACTTCAAAATTGGAAGAATTGACGTTTTTTCGTGGTAACATTTGAGTTGCGGAATCATCAAGTGCTCAATTTATTTCCGAATTCGGTGCACTCCCTCCAACTCTTTCTCTTATTTACTATTTTACTTGCATATTTATTTGTTTTATTGCTAGTAGTTAAATTTTTACAATATGTTTAATGCTGCAAAAAGAGTTTGTAACAAGGTTACTAATCGGGGAAATAAAAAAAGAGGTAGTACTTCAGGTTCAGCATTTGGTAGTAATTTAAATACCTCTCCAAATATTTCTGAAATATTACCTGATAATAATATAGACTATGAACAATTGCAGGAAGATTTTGGTATAGATGATAATGAATTAGAAATGGAAAATGAGATACCACTTACACCTAGTAGTGTTGGAGCTGCTAGCAGGGGTGGTGGCCGTGTTGCTAGTAGTAGATCACCTATGGCCCCGACTAGTAATCGTAAAAAAAGAAGTAAGGTTTGGAAATTCTTTGAGGAAATAGAAGGTACTGATAGAGTTAAATATAAACTTTGTAATGATACTTTTAAACATAAGACTAGGGGTCAATTAGGGGGGACTGAGACACTTAGTAGACATATGAGAATTGAACATCCTATAGAATGAGGATCTGATGGAGATGGAAATCAATCAACTCTAAACCCTACTACTGGTGGTAGTGTGAAATATGATAAAATGAAGGATCGTGAGGAGTTAGCAAAAATGATTGCTTTGGGTTGTCTACCTTTTTCTTTTGCTTCTTCATCATATCTTATTATGTATATTCAAAGGATTTACAATCCTTTATTTAAAGGTATCTCTAGAAGTATTTGTAGAGCTGATATCTTTAGACTTCATGGACAATATCAAACATACATACGTTATTTGTTTAGCTACTTCCTTGTAGAGTTTCTCTAACTTCTGATATTGACCATGCTGTTAATGGAAATGATTATTTGATAATTACATGTCATTGTATAGATGATAGTACTTGTATGCAAAAACGTATTATCGTTTTTAGATATGATGAAAATCAGAGTCATACTGCTACGTTTATAAGTAGTACTATTTGTGAAGTTGTTGAATTTTATAATCTCAAGCAAAAAGTATTGTGTATGTCTTTTGATAATGCTTCTAACAATAATGCCGCAATTTCAATATTAAAACTGCATTTGCAACCACCTCTTGATGAAATTTTTCATGTTAGGTGTGCATGTCATGTTTATAATTTAATTGTTAAAAGTGGCCTTGATTTATTTTCAACTGAGATTACTCATGTTAGAAGAGCAGTTGGTGTTATTCAAGGAAATAATAGACAATCTAGAATAAAGGAATTTAAGAATAAGTGTGTCCTGTATAACCTTAAACTCATATTCATGCCAGACGAAATTGTTACTAGATGGAATTATACATATATATTTTTAAAATGTTGCTACAAATATAGATTCCCAATAACTGAAGTTGCTAATGCGCATTGTACTGATCCAAACCGTATGTTAACAACTACTACTTGGGAGATCATTAATGATGTTGTTAAATTTTTACATAAATTTTATACAGCTACAGTTGAGTTTTCTGGAGAATATTACCCTACTGTTACTATGACTTTAGTACATATAGCTCAAATTTCTTTTCTACTCTTTGAATTTAAGAAGAAAGAAAAATATAGGGATGTTGAAAAAATGCAAGAAAAATTCAAAAAATATTTCTTTCCAATTCCTCTGATTTACTTAATTGGNTTCAAAAAATATTTCTTTCCAATTCCTCCGATTTACTTAATTGGTTCCGTTTTAAATCCTTCTATTAAGATGTCTGATTGTCACCAATTAATGAATGATTTATATATTTATATGGAGATTGGACCAACTGAAACCCCAGATTTATATAATTGTATGAACAAGCTAAATGAATATTTACAATAATTATTCAATTATTATGCAAATGTAATTGATGATGTTGCTCTCAATGTAGGCAATGTTAATCCCACTATG